CCCCCCAGGGGGATGGCCACACCACAATCCCTTCTCCATTCTCCTCTCGGGATCTTGAGCATGCACGCACACATGCCTGGCGTGAGTTTTAAGCCACCAGGTCCAGGACACGAACTGTGGTCAACTACACGGGAGTCCATCAACATAGCCATTACACTAATTGCTGGTCCCTCTTTATCAGATTTTAATGTCAATGGTATCCATCTTTCCTAAGCCAGAAATGATGGATACTGTACATGTGACTAGATTTTCCTTTAAATAAAAATTGAGGACTAGTAATTAATTTGCCTACAAAGTTATTAAAAATAAAGACATATTCTGAAATGCATGTTGTGTCGCTGCTATTATAAGGATTCTCATTTTAGGGGCCAGCAGGTGGTATGGTGGTTAAGATGTCTAGACTCCCATATGGCTAACTGTGGTTCGAGTCCTGGACCTGGCAGCTTGCTTTCACTTTTCTTCTCTTTCTCTCATCAACTTCAATAAAATAATGACAATGAATAAAGTTTTAAAAAAAAAGATTCTCATTTTAAGTTGGGCTGCGCTTAAAGACTTCGGACCACAAGCACAGTGCCTATAGCTTAGCCAATATTCCACACTTCAGAATTAGACTACATTTGTTGAAGTTAGAAACTGTTGGGGGGGCCGATAAGTGACATGGTGGCTAAGGGCACTGGACTCCCACATGGCTGACCACGGTTCGAGTCTGGGATCTGGCAGCTTGCTTTCTTGCTTTCTCTCTCTCACTCTGTTCTTCTCTAGTCAAATTTAAAAATATAAATATATATACATAAATAAAGTACGTTAAATAAAATCGTTCTAAAGAAAAGAAACTGTCAGGGACACATTCTGTTGAGCTTTATAATGTGGTATTTATTTTATCATTACTACTTTGATCCAGGTTGCAAAAGGTAAAGATAGGTAGTTTAATCACTATCTGTGTAGCAGTATGTAAAAAATGTTCTGTCTGGGGCCAGCAGGTGGCACGGAGGTTAAGATACTGGATCCCACATGACTGATTCTGCTGTTAGAGTCCCAGACCTAGTGGCTTTGAAAACAATCACTCCAGGCACGTGTGCATGTGTGCCCAAAACCCCAAGGGGAGAATAGAGGAGAAGAGATTGTAGTGTGGCCATCCCTCTTGGGGGGTGATTTCTCACTTTCCCTCTCTCTTTCTCTGTCTCTCTCTCTCCAGCGGACGCATGCACCCTATAGCAAAAAAAAAACACAAAAAAACAAAAAACCTGTCTGGTGTCAAAAAGAATGAGTTATAGTAGGCACACCTCTCACATCACTTTCCATACACTTAATTCATTATTAGCTTTGTATTTTATATTTTAAATATGTTATTTGGGAATTAAGTTGGGATTTTCAAACTTGAGCAGTAATAAGAACTGAAGGTTAATTGCAGGACCAAAAATCTACTCATGCTTATTATTTGTGTAACCTCTACGAATGTAGGGATGCTTCATTTTACCCACTCTTCCTTGTCCTTCGCAATGACTCCATGATGTGGCCATCCAGTGACTTTTTACCCTTGAGGAATGGAGGCTGGAAGTCTTGCCATGGTCACGCTGTCAGTCCTGGAGCCCCAGTCTTCTGACAGCACATAACCTTTCCAGTTGGTCAGTCCATCAGTTGTTTGTTCCCATCTATTTGTTTCAGGTACCCAGATCATAGAGGTTATTCTTTGATTTGGATAAGACAGAAGCATCTAGGTTTAGTAGAGAAGAAGATGGGTGACTCTAGCCAGTTGCCCTCACTGACCTTGTAGCCTAGCAGTCACATGTTGTACTACAGTGGGCACACTGCAGCAAGAAGCCTGCTCTAAGGGCTTAGCTCACTATGCAGCATCATGATACCACTTAACCGGTGGTGGTGGTGGTGATTTATTGTCTTGGGCCTTTTTTTTTTTTTTTTGAGAAGTTTTTGTTATAGGGTGCATGTGCTCGCCAGAGAGACAGAAAGTGAGAAGTCACCCCCCAGGGGGGATGGCCATGCCGTATTTCCTTCCCCTCCATTTTCTCAGGATCATGGGTATGCATGCACATGCGCCCAGCGTGAGTTTAAGCCACCGGGTCCAGGACTCGAACCACGGTCAACTACATGGGAGTCAACCGACAGCCATTACGCCAACTGCTGGTCCTGGGCTATTTGTTTTAATCAGTTCAATAGAGTGCTATCAATCTCTAGGACATCTGTTTTACTGTTGATAGCGTTTATCATCCTGACCAAAAGTTTCATGAAATTGACGACCCATTTCCCCTCTGCCTGGAGGAAGCATAGAATTTTAGAATTGAGAAAAATCTTAGAAATCATCTAGGGCAACTAATTTCTAAAGATGAAACTAAAGCTCAGCAAGGTTGTCCTTTGCCAAGGGTTCTGTAGCTAGATAGTTTCAAGCAGGACCTGAACTAGAACAACTCAAGGCTTTCTGAACTGTGCAGGCTAGTGCACCCTCATCCAGGCGGGAGGGCCACTGGTTGGTTGGCTGCTCGTTTCTTCTCTCAAGTCAATAGCCTTTAGAGTTTTCAGTTCAGCTTCTTAGCTTCTTTATCTGAGTGTTAATACAGTTTTAATAAGGAAAAAATGAGATCTCGGTTGAATTCTTGCTTTATAAATTTGATTTCCTATTTATAACTTAGTAATTGTGACTATGACTGTATGGTTCCAGAAATCTCTTAAGAGGTTTATAAAGAAAACAGCAAAAGATTTTCTTTTTAATTTGAATATTTCAAAACATCTATTTGTTTATCTTCAGGTTTTTTTTTTTTTGCCTTAGGGCATATTCGCTCCTTGGAGAAAGAGACACACACACAATGAGAGGGAAAGTGAGAAATCAGGACCCTCCCATCCCCTGGGGTGGGGGATGGCCATGTCATAGTCCCTTCTCCACCACTCTCTTCCTGGGATCGTGGATTGTCGGCATGTACACAGCATGCACACACACATGCGTCCAGCATGATTTTGAAGCTACCGGATCTGGGACTCAAACTGGTCAGCCATGTGGGAGTCCATGACATAACCTCTACACCATCTGCTGTCCTCTAATTTTTCAAAATATTTAAAAATTATATTGACAGACATGTCTTTATCTGTGTTACTCTACAACAGGTAGTAGGCTTAATCCATTGTTTTAAGTCATGACTGTCTTATGATGGGAACACATCTTTAGCTGTTTCTGCTTACTGACCATTTGTTTTGACATTGGGTACTTTTCTGCAAATAGAAAGATTATTCACTTAGAAAATGCTGACATTTTACTGAGCCTATGTGTAACTTTGTAATTGACCATAGTGAGATGAATTTTGTAAGTTGGCAGTATATAATGAATTTTAAAAGATCACGATGCAGTTAAGTGATGACATATAAATATTTATGCTTATTCATTACTTAAAGTTTATTCAGAATTTGGGTTAAGCACTTAAAGTCAGAGATATTAATGTATAATTCAAAATGACTTTTAAGTATCAAAGCATTTTCATTGAATGGTGTCGCTAAACTGATGGGAGTATTCCTTATTTATGTGATATAGATAGGTTTCCTAAAAACATTTTATATCTAACTTTCTAATGTGTATTCTTTTCTGTCAATTTCAGAGGTGGTGTGTCTTAATCATAAATTGTTAAGCAATTAGCAGTGCAAGCTGAGCATCCCTCATCTGAAAATCTAAAATGTCCCCAAATCCAAAGCTTTTTGAGCACCAATATGATGCTACAAGTGGAAAATTCCATACCTGATCTCACTTGATAGCTCTAAGTCAAATCACTGTACTGCACAAATATTATATATTTGTGTACAAGGGGACTTTAGAAAGTTTGTGGAAAAACTGAATTAAAGTATGAGTTTATTAAAAAAAAAAAAGTATGTGTTTGTTTTGGTGCAAAACACTGAAATCTAGGCTCCTTGGCCTACTAGTTAAGGGAACTGGATCCCACATTGCTGACTGCAGTTTGAATCCTTGGCCCACAGGGCTTGAAAAACATGTCAGGCTCATGTGTATGGATGCCCAAAATCCAGACAGGATAGAGCAGTGGAGAGAAGGGATTGTGGCATGACCATGCCTCACTGAGAGGTTCTCTCTCTCTCTCTCATGAACATGGTCTCTGGCAATCAAAAAAATGTTTTTGAACATTCATGCAGTTTTCCATAATGTGCGTTTTCTATGAACTTTTTGATGATCTCTCTATGTAAGGTATATGTAAAACAAATTAATTTCATCTTTAGATTTGGGTCCCATCCTCAAAATACCTCATTATGTGTATGCACACAACCAAAAATAAGATAAATAAATAATCTGCAATAATAGTATTATATAAACTACCCCCTAGGTACTTGTCAGTAAGTTCTGTTGGTTTCACCTGTATTGTATCCTGAACTCTCTATAGCTTTTATTTTACAGTAAAGCATTTCCTGATGAACATTTATTGAGCACCTACTCATTGCCAGGCTCTCCATTTCCTCATGGACTTTATATTCTACAATAGTAGGGGGACATAGACAGTAAACAAGCAAATGAATATATAGCAGGTACGAGGATAATAAGTGCTGTGGAGGAAGAGCAGGAGGATAAAACAAGAAGTGTGTGTGCACATAATTTTGCTTCAGTATGTCTTGCTGACTACTAAAGGAAGTAGACAATATAGGCATATAGGAGTGAAATTCCCCCACAAATAAGGAAAACAGCAAGGAGGCCATGAGGTTGGAAATAACAAGCAAAAGGGACAGTGTAAGTCTGGAAGCCTTCAAGAATCCTTTGGGCTTTGGGAAGGACGCTGACTTTACTTGAAGTGAGCTGAGACTAGAGGTAAGGAAATGATTCCCTCTTCTTTTTTTTTTTTTAAGAGATTTTTGCTATAGGGCATGTGCACCTGCCAAAGAGACAGAGACAGACAGAAAAATAGGAAGTGAGAAACCACCCCTTAGAGGAATGGCCACACTACAATCCATTTTCCTCCATTATCCTCTCAGGATTTTGGGCATGCATGCACATGTGTCTGGCAGGAGTTTCAAGTCACTGAGTCTGAGACCTGAACTGTGGTCAGCCGTGTGGGAGTCTAGCACCTTAACCACTATGCCACCTGCTGGCCCCACAACTCCTTCTTAAAAGAACCACTGGTGAGGCCGGCAGGTGGCGTGGTGGTTAAGGGCTGTGGACTCCCACATGGCTGACTGTGGTTCAAGTCCCGGATCTGGCGGCCTGCTTTCTTACTTTCCCTGTCTCTCTCTGGTCAAATTAAATAAATAAATTTAAAAACAAACAAACAAACAAAAAAGAACCACTGGCTATTAGCGGGAAAGGGGTAGGATAAGGCAAAGGGAAGAGAAACCAAACAGGAGAGATTAGTGTAATAATCAAGACAAGCATGGGAGTGACTGGGAAGAAAGTAGGAAAGTAGGCACTCATTGAATGTTCATCAGGAAATGCTTTGTTACAATCCTGTAGTGAGGACATCCTCTTTTTTTTTTGGAGAGGTTTTTGCTAGAGGGTGAGTAGGCTCACCAGAAAGACAGAGGGAAACAGAGAGAGAAAAGGGAGAAATCGCCACCCAGGTGGTATGGCCATGCTGCAGTCTCTTCTCCATTCTCCTCTCAGGACATTGGGCATGCACACACATGTGCCTGTAAGCCACTGGGTCTGGGACTCGAACTGTGGTTGACTACGTGGGAATCCAGCAACATAGCCATTACACCAACTGCTGGTCCCAAGGATATCCTCTTTTGATACAAATAATCCATTTACCTTTCTTTTCTTTTCTTTCTTTTTTTTTTGGTGGGGGGGCATAGGGCATGTGTGCTCACTGGAAAGACAGAGAGAAAGTGAGAAATCACCCACAAGGGGGAATGGCCTGGCCACAGTCCCTTCTTCTAGGATACTGGGCATGCATGAATACATGCCTGGCATGATTTTCAAGTCACAGGGTCTGGGACTGGACCATGGTTAGTCATGTGGAGTTCAGTATCTTAATCCCATGCCACATGCTGGCCCTACCTTTCCATTTTTATTGTTCTGTTTTAATTAAAGCTGACTAGAAACATACCCTTGAAAATAAAAGTTGTGGGAGCAGTGGTTAGCGTAATGGCTATGTCACTGGACTCCCATGTAGTTGACCGCGGTTTGAGTCCTGGTCCTGGTGTCTTAAACTCACGCCGGGTGCGTGTGCGTGTGTGCCCAAGATCTCGAGAGGAGAATGGAGGAGAAGGGATTGTGGCGTGGCCATCCCTTCTCGCTTTCTATCTCTCTGGCGAACGCACGTGCCTTATAGCAAAAAACCTCTCCGAAAAGAAAAGAAAAGAAAAGTTGTATAATTAAAGCATGTAAGAATTGAACTTTAAGAATTTTTCTCCAGGAGCCTGAAGATTTGTTAGTAGGTTGGCCCTGTAGCGTAGTAGTTAAGGAAGCTTGATCCCACATGGCCAACCATAGTTTCAAATTCTGGCCCTATAGGCTTTAAAAACCCATGGGATGCATGTGTGCCCCAAATCTCAACAAGATGGAGAAATGGAGGAGAAGAGATACCATGTGACCGTGCCTCACTAGGGTACTTCCTCATACGCTCTCTGTATTTTTTCCTCTGAAGAGTGCATATTCCCTCTGACAGTTAAAAGGAAAAACATTTTGTTGATGAACTTAAGTGTCTATAGTTAAAATTAAGGCTAGCTTAGTTCAAATTCCACATATTTCTGAATAATTTTATGCTTGTATTCAAAAATATTTCTTTATGTTTATAGTTAAAAATTGCAAAACATGGTACATTGTCAATTAATGAGAATATTAATATTTGGAAGTTGGACTTCTTACTGTTATTTCTCTCGATTATAGGTGAAGTGTTTGACTATTTGGTTGCACATGGAAGAATGAAGGAAAAAGAAGCAAGAGCTAAATTTAGACAGGTATGAATTAATGCATCTTTAGTTAATTTAATAAAGTTAACTTGCATAAACCCTAAAGCAAACAAGTATTTGCTGCTATAAATGTTTCTTCTTCTTTTTTTTTTTTTCTTTTTCTGTGAGAGATTTTTGCTATAGGGTGCGTGTGCTCACCAGAAAGACAGAGACAAAGAGACAAAAAGCAAGAAATCACCCCCCACGGGGGATGGCCACACCGCAATCCCTTCTCCTGTTGGGATCCTAGACACGCATGCACACACACCTGTCGTGAGTTTAAGCCACTGGGTCCAGGACTCAAACCACGGTCTATTACATGGAAGTCCAGCGACATAGCCATTACTCTAACTGCTGGTCCTACTGCTATAAATGTTTTTAAGCGAAGTTGGCAGGAGTTGCCCAGTTATTTTACCAAAAATGTATGAAGTATCTTTCATGCTTATGGCACTGTGCTAAAAGCAGCTGTCGGTTTTATTCCCAATAGCCTTGTAATTGGGCCATTAGTCTTTTTGCAAATCTTTGCTTTTGATGATTGAGACTTAAAAATCTGGATCCTTTCAAAAATACCTGTAATTACATTATTTAAAACTGTTTCAGGCCCAGCTACAGGCACACAGCAGAGGGCACTACTGCACAGTGACTAGAGCTGCATGGGAGGCCTGAGTTCAGTTCCTGGCTAGCCTGAACAGGCCGGTGCAGTGACACACATCGGTGGTCCTAGCTGCTTGGGAAGCTCGGGCAGGAGGATCTTGACATGCAGAGACCCTGTCAGAAAGAACTGTCTTTCTTTCTTTCCCTGCCCCCCACACATTTTCTCTTAAAAAAAAAATCATTAACAAGAAGAGTGTTGCAAATCCGAAAATTCATTATTAGTTTGTCTAACCCAAGACAGGACTAAATATAACTTAATTTGTTCAATAGTGACTTTTCTTCTTGCTTTGTCTTTACTGTACTCTTTAGGCACTCTTTTTTTTTTTTTTTTTTTGGAGAAGTTTTTGCTATAGGGCGCGTGCGCTTGCCAGAGAAACAGAGAGAGACAGAAAGCGAGAAATCATGCCCCAGGGGGATGGCCACACTGCAATCCCTTCTCCTCCATTCTCCTCTCGGGATCTTGGGCACGCATGCACACGTGCCCAGCGTGAGTTTTAAGCCACCGGGTCCGGGATGCGAACCACGGTCGACTACATGGGAGTCCAGCGACATAGTCATTATGCTAACTGCTAGTCCCTAGGCACTCATTTTAATAAACACTTTTTAAGCATAAAGGTGACTTGACTTTCCTGTCTCTAATAATAATAATTGCTATTAGTTGACCATTACCTACCAGACAGTGGGAGAAGTGATTTATCTAAATTAAGATAAACCTTGCAGTAGGACCAGCAGATGGCATAATGGTTATGTTGCCAGACTCCCATGTAGTTGACTACAGTTCGAGTCCTAGACCCGGCAACTTAAAACTCATGCTGGGCGCATGTACATGCATGCCCAGTATTTCAGGAGGAGAATGGAGGAGAAGGGATTGTGGCATGGCTATCCCCCTGAAGGTGGTGATTTCTTAGTTTCCATCTCTCTGGTGTGCATACATGCCCTATTCCAAAAATCTTTCTTTCCAAAAAGAAAAGGGTAAACTTGACCAGAGAGGGACAGAGAGAGGGAATACACGCCCTCTGGCAAATTAAAGTTCTCATGTTCAGAAAGGTGGTTTTAGCTGATTTTCAGATTTTCTCTGAACAGTATCTCCTTTGTTTTGCCTAATCTGGTGTTTTCAGCTAAGGACTTATTTATAAGTTTCTTAACTTTTGCTGTTGCTTATATTTAATCTAAAAATGTAGTATTTAAATTAAAGTATTAAATACTAATGGTACTTGCTTTTTTTTTTTTTTTTTTTTTTGGGGGGGTTTTTGCTATGGGGCCGGTGCACTGTCTTGCCAGAGAGACAGAAAGTGAGAAATCACCCCCCAGGAGGGATGGCCACGCCGCAATCCCTTCTCCTACATTCTCGTCTCGGGATCACATGCACCCGGCGTGAGTTTTAAGCCACCGGGTCTGGGACGCGAACTGCGGTCGACTACGTGGGAGTCCAGCGACATAGCCATTACGCTAACTGCTGGTTCCCGGTACTTTCTATTTTTTAAAAGAATTACTTTATTAAACTTTATTTACTTACTTATTTTAACTTGACCAGAAGGACAGAGAGAGGGAAAGCAAGAAAAGAAATCGCCAGTTCTGGGCCTCGAACTGCAGTTAGCCACATGGTAATCCAGCATCCTTAACCACCATGCCACTTGCCAGCCCCGCTCTGAAGTATTATGTCTAGGATAGGTGGGTCCCATGTGACTTATGACTAAGAGCTGGTGATGGGGTAGCCATGGCGGAACAGCAATGATGCCGTGCTACACGATGCACAGTACATATGAGGTCCCTGGTTTGTGTCCTAAAGTCTCCCTGTGTGTGCTGAAGGGTGGGTGTGTGGGTGTGTGCACGTGCATACGCACACATACATGAACCTGGCTGTCTGAGGCTGGAGATGGATTGCAACATGAAGACCTTGTTGGGGGGTCCCTGTGTCTCCCTTTCTCTCTCTCTCCCTCTTCTCCCTCTCTCATAGAAGAAATAAAAGAGCTGATGATTTGGAGAAAAAAAAAATATTTTCATTCTAACTCCAGTTTTATATATATGTAATCATATATATCTGAATGCAAGTATAAAATACAGAAGAAAGAACCAGCAGAAGGAACCAGCAGTTAGCGTAATGGCTATGTCGCTGGACTCCCACGTAGTCGACCGCGGTTCGTGTCCCGGACCCGGTGGCTTAAAACTCACGCTGGGCGCGTGTGCGTGCGTGCCCAAGATCCCGAGAGGAGAATGGAGGAGAAGGGATTGCGGCGTGACCATCCCCCCTGGGGGGTGATTTCTCGCTTTCTGTCTCTATGTCTCTCTGTGTCTGGCGAGCGCACGCGCCCTACAGTGAAAATCTCTCCAAAAAAAGAAAAAAAAAGAAAGAACCAGCAGATAATGTAATTGTTATGTCATTGGACTCCCATGTAGTTGGCTGGTTTGAGTCCCGTATCCAGTGGCTTTAAACATACTGTTGGCACCTGTGCATGTGTACCCAGAATCCTGAGAGGAGAGTGGAGAAGCGATTGCTGTGTGGCCATCCCTCCCAAAGGCTGATTTCTCAATTTCTATCTCTCTGTCTCTTGGGCGAGCACACCACCTATAGCAAAAATCTCTCTCTCTCTAAAAAAAACTAAAAATACAAAAGAGAAAACTAGAAGAAGCAAATACAAAAAAGTATTAAGAACTGAATGGGAGCAGCAGACAATGTATGGTTATGTCACTGGACTCCCATGTAGCTGATTATGGTTTGAATCCTGGACCCAATGACTTAAAACTCAGAACAGGCATGTGTGCATGCCTGCCTAAAATCTCAAGAGGAGAGTGGAGGAGAGGGATTGCAGCATGGCCACCACCACCACCACACCACACCCCCGGGGGGTGACTTCTTGTTTTCTGTCTCTCTCTGTCTCTCCAAGTACATGCACCCTATGGCAAAAATCTCAAAAAAAAATTTTTATATATATATGTGTGTGTGTGTGTGTGTACATATATATCAAGAGAGGGTATCTTTACTTAGTGATACTACAGAAGTATATGTGTTTGTATTTTTCTGTTATCTAAAATTCTATAATGAGTATATAAAACTTGGAAGTGTTTTGTTTTCTGAGTTTGTTTTGTTTTTTATGTTTTTGCTATAGGGCATGTGTACTCATTGGACATAGACAGAAAGAGGGAAAGTGAGAAATCATCCCCCAGACGGATGGCCATGCCACAATCTTGTCACCATTCTCCAGATTTTGGGAATATGCACATGGTGTGATATTCATGAGTCCAGGCATCAAACCATAGTCAGCCATGCGGGAGTCCAGCACTTAAACTACCATGCCACCTGCTGGCCCCTTGGAGGGTTTTGTTTTGTTTTGTTTTGTTTTGTTTTGTTTTGTTTTTAAGAGTGGTTTTTTTTGCTATAGGGCATGTGTGTTCACTGGAAAGACAGAAAAAGAGAGAGAGACAGAAAGCAAGAAATCACCCTCCAGGAGGGATGACCACGCCGTTAATCCCTTTTCTTTGGGATCTTGGGCATGCACGTACATGCACCTGGGATGAGTTTCAAGTCATCAGATCTGGGACTCGAACTGCAGTTTATTACATGGGAATCCAGTGACATAAATATTACGCTATTGACTAGTCTTGTGGGAGTTTTTGTTTTGTTTTGTTTTTTTTCCTTTTAATGGTAAGGTTTTTCTTCCATAGGTTGCGTGTGCTTACCAGAGAGCGAGAGAGAGACTGTGAGTCAGTCAGTGAGAAGGAAAGTAAGAAATCACCCCCTAGGGGGATAGCCGCACCACATTCCCTTCTCCATTCTCCTCCTGGGATCCTGGGCATGTACACACACACATACACCTGGCATGATTTTCAAACAGCCAGATTCTGGACTTGAACCATGGTTAGCCATGTGAGAGTCCGGCACCTGAACCATTAGACCACCTGCCAGCCCCTGGAGATGTTTTATTAAAAAGTTGTCAGTAGATACTGCAGGGTGCGGATGGCCGGTGCTGCTGCCCGGTTGCGAGTCAGCAAAAGCGGCAGGAAGTTCGTACTGGGCAAGAGGCGAGCAGTCTGTGGCTTAGGGAACCCAGTGACAATTTACTGAATTAAAGTTCTACCAACGAGCTGCTAAACCAGAACAAATTCAAAAATAGATTCGTGCCCATAAATTGAAGTACCTGGGTGTTCCTAAGTATTGGGGGTCTGGTCTGCATGATAAAAATGGGAAAAGTTACAGGTTTATGATAATAGATCGCTTTGGGAGTGACCTTCAGAAAATATATCAAGCAAATGCCAAAAGGTTTTCTCGGAAAACTGTCTTGAAGCTAAGCCTAAGAATTCTGGATATTCTGGAATACATTCACGAACACAAGTATGTACACAGAGATATCAAAGCC